ACCATGCATGGTATGCCCGTGCAGCATGCTACCCTCGAATATCTCTAAAAGCAGTATATCCAAACGTTAAAATTGCCTTCTTAAGCTCGGTTTTAAACAGTTATTCCATGACATTGTGTGACCGTGGCATGAAGGCGATTATCAAACGCCACAAGATGGCAAATAATCGGCAAGCATAAGGCAGGAATGACTTGTAATGCCATTGGTCGGAATTTGGAGTATCATTACACTGTCGTTAGCTGTTTAGTCGAGAAAAATGCTCAGACCGGTGATGTACAGGACCGTCCCAGATCCGGAAGACCTCCTGTGACGACACATCGCGAAGACAGGGACCTTCTTCGTCTCATACGCCGAGAACCCTTTTAAACAAGTACTCGTCTGAAATAGCTGTGGTTGCCCAATCGTCGTTTGAGCACCAGAACCGTCAGGAATCGGCTGAAAGCAGCAGGACTGAGGGCTAGACGAGTCATAAAGCGTCCCTTGTTGAGAGATGACCACAAAGCTGCTTGTTTAGCATGGTGTATTGCACATCAAAACTGGAATCTGAGAACTTGGAGACAGTACATGGTCAGGGTCGCTGACTTGGTTGATGCCTGTCATCGATCCCAATAGTCAGATCATGGATTGCAATGCCAGGCCTCATCGTTCGCATGCAGTCGTGGATTACATGAGGGCCAATGAAATAACGACTCTATCCTGGCCAGCAATGAGCCCAGATTTGAACCCCCTTGAACATGTTTGGGATATCCTCGGGCGGCGCATACAGGCACGAGATCTTCCTGTACAAGATTTAAATAATTGGAAGCTGCATTGCATAAGAAGTGGTTGTTGTTGACCAATCCTAATGGAGGCATGAGACGTAGGGTGGAATGCGTCATCCGGGTACGTGGCGGTTATACCCGCTATTGATCTGTTTCATGTGTCATGTCAAGTAGAGACGTTAAGGAACATGTTCACATGAAACTGTTTTATAATTTACATCAAACGTAATTCGTTTACTTAATCCTGCAGCTCCGTACTTTTTTAAGGTATCGACTAATGTCAAAAACAATACCTGTGTTACCATGATGCTTTTGTCAGTAAATTTCAATCACAACTCACCAATATCTTCTTTATTTGTTGTCAAATGTTTGTTCTGTCCGATGACATTGGTATCGCCCAGCTCCTGTGGTCAGTCATCCCATGCCATGATGTTTGCCATTTGTCATTGTTCAGAAGAGAGGTGTGCTTAACTTTTTTCTGTGTGTATGTACGCTTTAAGAGTTAATCTTTTAAGTGAGAATATAAAGGACATAACATACAAAAAGGGCTTCTCATTTTAAACAGTGCGAACATTGTGAATACAGGGACAATGTGGCCAAATATGGAACAAATATTGCTCAACCGGTTAACCAGCTTGAACCTAGTCTCAACATTTTTTAAACAATACATTCATGCAGGCTTAAAAGGGCAAGCTTGTAGTTTGCTACGGAAGCCTTTTAGGGCCATTTGTTTTATTTATTTATTTCGATACTATCTTGAAATTTCAAGATACTAAGTTAAAATTTCAAGATACTAAGTTGAAATTTCAAGACATAGATGTTGAAATTTCAAGATACTAAGTTGAAATTTCAGGATATAGAAGATGAAGTTTCAAGATACTAAGTTCAAATTTCAAGATACTAAGTTGAAATTTCAGGAAAGTATCTTGAAATTTCAACTTAGTTTCTTGAAATTTCAAGATAATATCGAAAAAAATATAAAAAAACAAATGGCCCTAAAAGGCTTCCGTAGGATCTTGATATTTCAAGATTATTCACTTATTCACGTATTTTTACATCTTAGGATGTTAACTTATTATCTTGACATTTCAACTTATTATCTTGAAATTTCAACTTAGTATCTAGACATTTCAAGATAGTATCTTGAAATTTTAACCAAATAACCAAATTGCCCTAAAAGGCTTCCGTAGTTTGCAGTTGACAACCAAACAGAAACTATGTATGTTTTGAGGGACAAATTCAGACCGCTTCTAATATACTGTTTTGTCTTAGGATGTTTTTACCAAGGAGATCGTGAATGAGTTGGGTTAAATGCCGCTTTCAACAATCTTCCAGTTATATTAGGGCGTGTCAGCTGGGAGGAAAGCCCGAAGTGATGCAGGGCTTTGACGTTTACCACGAGCACGGGTATGGTTCTGACAAACCTAGAAACATAATCAGGGCGAACCGGGATTCGAACCCACAACGATAGGTTTCTGGCGTACGTAAGGGACGCAACCTAGACCTCTGCACAGCAACTTCAAGGCATACATTTCTCTCTTTGAAAGGTTGGTTCCAAACAATTGTATGAACACCCGGGTTGAGGCTTGCCAAATAATAAAAGCTTTGTCCTCAACCTCAAATTAACTCTGACGGGTAAACTTGGAACTAGACAATACAGTGATTGAAATCATGAACATCGATCCACGCAATTGGGATCAATGACAGGCATCAATCAAATCAGCGACCCTGACCACCCGATCCCGCCAGTCGCCTCTTACGACAAGTATAGTCGCCTTTTATGACAAGCATGGGTTCCTGAAGACGTACTCTACCCCGGATCTTCACGGATCCATAGGCAATCGTATCAGATGTCATATATATTTGTCAATGATTCGTAAAATTTGGAAATATTTTTCAAATGTTTCCCATAACTCTGTTGTAAGCTTTACTGAGGTCTTGAATAAAAGAACCCGCTTATAATCTTGTTTAGTATGTGCAGTATGTAAATAGCTATTTGATACATACCGATGATTTGGAAAGGTTGTATCGGACATCAATCACCACTTTAGTGTATTCAGCTAGCATACATTCACCAAGGATTCGAGAATGAATGAAGGACAATCGTTCCTTCCTGAGACAGAGTTGCACGTATGCATTTCCCCAGGACAAGTACAGGGTTAACGTTTGAACAGTTTCCCTAAACACGTCTCACCTGTAGTAACACTGTAGTAGTCGGTGTCCGCCTCTTGATCTCCGTCCTCGGGCGATAGGAACAACAAATCATGGAGCTGACACCGTCGGTGCTGCCGTCTGTAGAACACAGATACACAAGCCTCGTTCCGATGACACAGCGTCACGCATGTCAAACTGCCTTGAACGTTTGAAACTGCAGTGAGTGTACTATGACATTTGTGAACATTTTCCACTTGATTCCGAAGCGAGTCTTCACCAAAGAGGACGAACTTGTTACAAAATAAATAAGGAATAGTGTAACCACTCCTGAATTAATCTTTTAGACGAATGCAGTCATTCTCAAGTCCCGGTTGCATGTTGGTTGGGTTGGTTGGTTTGTTGTTTTACGCCGCACTCAGCAATATTCCAGCTATATGACGGCGGTCTGTATATAATCGAGTCTGGACCAGACAATCCACTGATTGACATCATAAACATCGATCCACGCAATTGGGATCGATGACATGCATCAACCAAGTCAGAGAGCCTGACCACCCGATCCCGTTAGTCGCCTTTTACGACAAGCATAGTCGCCTTTTACGGCAAGCATGGGTTGCTGAAGACCTATTCTACCCCGGATCTTCACGGGTCCGGTTGCATGTAGACTCATGATTGCAGAGTAAATACAACTGTCACACGATGTCTAATATATCATTTAAAAGGGTAAAGCTAATGGTTGATTGATTGATGTTGTTTGAGTTATTCTGTTTCATAAATGTAGTTGGTAACCAGTTTTTAAAATTAATAAGTTCAATAACAAATGCAGGATAATCAATTCAAGACATTAGTGAGTTTGGTTTTACGCCGTTTTTAGCAATTTTACAGCAATATGACGGCGGGGGACACCAGAAATGAGCTTTACACATTGTACTTATTACGGGAATCGAACGCGGGTCTTCGGCGTGACGAGCGAACGCTTTAACAACTAGGCTACCCGACCGCCCCATTCAAGACATGGATCCGTCAAACGAATATATGTTCATGAAAAAACGCTGGCTGAATATTTATGTTGATACCATCTCACAAGGAATAAAACAACCAGATCAATACAGATTATAAGCTGTGTGGTGATGCAACAATGAGTACGCCCTGACGTCCTAATGGCTCATCATCTCTCTTGTAGCAAGTTTCACTGGTGTGTGTACGTTTCCGGAGTTTATTATAGACTGGAGCCCTGGTTCACTTCATCAAACACCATTTTTTTCAGTGAAGCTTCAACTAGTCTACCATAAACCTTTCGAAAAAGTTTTAAAAGTTTTTGAAAGTTGCAACCCTGATCAAACAACGTTTGTGTAACAGTAGAATGACGCTCTTTGAAATCTTCGAAAAAAGAGCCTCTTCAATTCTACCTCAAAAGACGTTGAATTTTTACACCAAAGTTTAGAGCAGCTGGTCCTATATTGGAAAGTTGAAGCAGCCCTCTTGCCATACTGTCTTTTGGAGTGTTTTCTGGTCATTCTAAATCTGTAAGGGCCACGGGTGGCCCAGTTGCTATGCAGAGTTGCGTCCCTTGGACACGCCAGAAACCTATGATTGTGGGTTTGAATCCCGGTTCACCCCGATTATGTTTCTAGGTTTGTCAGCACCATACCCGTGCTCGTGGGTTTCACCGAAGTGGTAAACGTCTGAGACCTGCATCACTTCGGGCTTTTCTCCCACATTAAGCTGAAACGCAGCAATAGGACTGGAATTCTTTTGAAAGAGGCGTTAAACCCAACTCACTCACTCTAAATCTGTACCAGTTGGGCATATAGATGTAGCGAAAAATTTCAGATGATCATGGCGAAATGCATGGACAGTCAATGTTGGTATAGAACAATTTCTGGTAATATTACTTTTGACCATACCTTTTTTATGCTTGTCGTAAGAGGCGACTAATGGGATCAGCAATTTTTCAGCTATATGACGGCGGTCTGTAAATAATCGAATCTGGACCAGACAATCCAGTGATTAAATCATGAGCATCGATCCACGTAATTGGGATACAATGACATGCCTCAACCAAGTCAACGAGCCTGACCACCCGGTACCGTTAGTCGCCTCTTACGACAAGCATAGTCGCCTTTTACGGCAAACATGGGTTGCTGAAGATCTATTCTTCCCCGAATTCCCACGGGTGCGTTATAAACGTAGTTTACTTTATAGGTTTAGGTAAAATGTTTTTTACATGTTTGATTCCACATACTAATGTCGAATTGATTTTCTACAGAAAACATCGGTGCAGAACAATCAGGTATTTTTACTGATGAAAAGTGGGTGTGCTGAACATCACGGCAAATCTTCATGTTCCATGAATGCCAAGTATGTGGCCAAGTCATGTTCTGTATATGAAACTTTGCTCGGAGAGCACAATGCACCAAGGTATCGACCTAATCTTGACAAAAAATGCTGAACATCACGGCAAATCTTCATGTTCCATGAATGCCAAGTATGTGGCCAAGTCATGTTCTGTATATGAAACTTTGCTCGGAGAGCACAATGCACCAAGGTATCGACCTAATCTTGACAAAACAACACCAGATCAAATATCTTTCTCGCAAATGTAGTACTTTGTTTCGGCCCTCTTCCTGTCTTGCCACTGAAATGCATTGTCAACTTTGGAGGCGACAACATAATGTCTGTATGTAAGATTAACCGGGAAGGATGGACTCCAGGCAAAGTAGGTCATAGGTCGGCCATCATGGAATACCCACTGTCCTTCATTTGTCGCATCTGAACCATCGAAATAGTAGCTGGTGACGTTACTGTCTGAAAGTTTATAAAAGTAAAAGTCAGGTAAGATTCTAGAAGATAAACTTACCATGACGTCTATGTGGAGATGTGTGCTACATGGATATCTAATGGCACTTAGTTTAATTCGGAACCAAATGTGCATTGGCCATGTGGTCTTCAAGTCATTATTGAAACCTATGATTGGTCAATCAGAATGGTGAACCAACCAGATTCCTTGTACAAAATGTGACAGCATAAGCAACTCACACAGTGTTCCTAGCAAAAGTAAATCCCAGAGAGTGAGGAGGTGTGGCAATAGCATGTACATGCAAAGGGCTATAGAGTTCAACAGCATCGCGCAGCATGCTGGCAAGTGACGTGCCACATCAAGTAAATTCCTGTGAATGTCCACATTTTAAAAATGACAATCAGGCCTTTCACGTTGACTGTAAAGCTTAGTTGTTAGCTTAAAAGTAAGTAAAATGTGATTCCGCGTAGGATGATTTGGTTGGTTTGTTGTTTCACGCCGCACTCAGCAATATTCCAGCTATATGACGGCGGTCTGTAAATAATCGAGTCTGGACCAGACAATCCAGTGACTGATATCATTAGCATCAATCCACGCAATTGGGATCAATGAGATGCATCAAGCATAGTCGCCTTTTACGGCAAGCATGTGTTGCTGAAGACCTATTCTACCCCGGATCGTCACGGGTCCCATATCTAAGGTGTGGAACATGGTTTAAAGAATCAAGGTGAGGGTTCAAAATCGAATGTACATCATCTTAAAAACTGTGACAAATTGATAACTGATAAATCTGATATTGAAAAAATATATCTTCATCTTCATTGTTTTCACAGGAAAAGAAAAAAAGGTTTTGATTCTAATAACGGTGAAGATTACAATAAAGTATTTTTATTGCATGAGCTACATGCCGCTCTTTAGAAAGCTCATGATACTGCAGCAGGGGGGTGATGATATCCACTTCAATTATTGCAGCAATTGTCTGAAACATGTCTTCAGACACCTTTTGATATTTTTGATTTCAGGATATTTTACATCACTCGTGGCCATTGTACTCCCAATACCAAAACCCTAGCCGGGATCATACAGGTCCCCCAAATTACCACCCTGTTTCTTTAACCGGTTGCGTTTGCAAAACCATGGAACGAATGTTGAATAATAGATTAGTTGGGTATCTGGAAACCAATAATCTTCACACAAATATTCCATGTGGTTTCCGGGGGGAAATAGAAGTACTATTAAGTATGAATACGATTATAATACTTTGTTAAAATGCTCTAGCAAACAAACAACACATAGTATCAATTTTCGTTGATCTCGGGTAAGCATACACTACTACACTATGGAAGCATGGCATTTTAAGGATTTACCTGCTTTGGGGTTAAGAATTCATGTACCTTATTTTATATCAGTTTTTAACAGACATGCAATTTCAAGTCCGAGTGGGTACAACCCTGTCTGATCATTCAGGCTAATCAGAATCAGGCAGTATTTTGTTTTTCACTTACTCGTATTAAAATAAATAGGCTGGCTAGGGGTTTAAGTGATTCAGTAGATGGATCACTTTTCGTGGATGATTTTAATATTACTTGTACAGGTAAAAATATGCATACAATAGAGAGGCAGTCTAAATAATATTCACAAGTGGTCCCTTGAAAACGGGTTGAAATTTTCTCAATAAGAAAACTAACTGTGTACATCATTTCTGCAGGAAACATAATTCGCATAAGGACCCTGAACTATTTTTGAATGGCACCACCATCAAAGTTGTGAAGGAGGCCAGGTTCTTGGGACTTATTTTTAATAACCATTTAACTTTCCTTCCGCATATTAAATACCCTAAAGCTAAATGTCTGAAGGCAAACGATTTGTTAAAAGTAGGTTTTAATTCTAAGTGGGGAGGGAGATCTGATAACCCTCTTACACTTGTACAGGTCACTGATCCGTTCAAAACTTGATTACGGCTCCCTCGTTTATAGTCAGAGTGTAATAGGTAATTCACAAAAACTAATTATCAGGGCCTGAGGCTTTGACTTGAAACCTTCAGAACTCCTCCTGTTCATAGTCTGTATGTGAAAGTAGATGAGCCTTCCCTTAAACAACGCGGTTTGAAATTATCCTTACAATGCATAACTAATTTATATTTGAATCCGTCAAATCCAGCATTTGAATGCCTATTTAATCCTCTTTATGAAGACAGTTACAATAAGAAATCAACTCTTATATATTCCACTACTTGGATGAGTGAGTGAGTATGTTTGTATGCCACTTTTAGCAATATTCCAGCAATATCACGGCCGGCGACACCAGAAATGGGCTTCTCACATTGTACCCATGTCGGGAATCGAACCCGGGTCTTCGGCATGACGTGCTAACGCTTTAACCACTAGGCTACCCGACCGACCCCTGTCATTTCCGCTGGTACAATTAACCTTAAAAATATAGCTCCCTTTCAGCTTTTGTCATCACCTTCTTAGGCTAAACGGTAAGGCAAAATGTATACTTGACATTAATTGAACCAAAGAAGTCAGATACAAACCTACTATGTAGAAAGAAAAAAAAATACAACCAATTAAGAAACAAATATGACACTTATAAATCTATTGATGGATCCAGAACAGTGTCTTCACGATTACCAGATAACAGTTACATATTCAAACTTCATTTTAACAGCACTAAAATATATCAATAATCAATCTTAACATACACAATTTGTTATTTTCTTAGTTTCTCTTTCGTGTCTTCAGGCTACTAAAATATGTCATGTAAACATCCTCTTTCACTTAAAATCGTTGAATAATTTAATGATCTTGCTGCTACCTGTATGCCATCGACTTTTGTTGGTTACCCAGCCATGATGGAATCATTGGTAACACAACGGCAGATACTGCTGCAAAAGCTGCACTGGTCTTTTTTTTATGCATTTGTGCCCAGTGTGTCCACAATAAACGAGGACGGTTCGTTTCAATAAAAATATATACCCGCTAGGTATTTTCCAAGTGCGAAAATCTGTTTGCTTATGCATAAGGCATATTCACACTTGGTGAGGCAGATTGAATTTAAACATTATGATAGTGTCGGCATGGTTTATGGAAGTCATTGCAGCTGAAACATTGCTGATGTGACGTAATTTTTAAACGCACTCACTGACAATACATTGTGTATATATTTCGCAAGAGCGTAGGACACTTCCCCACATGTAAAATTCTCCCATTGGACACTACCCTACAGTGGCATTTCCCAAAAAGTGCATATAAAAATAATTTATGTTACAGTTTTATTTACAATTTGACAAACTATAATAATATGAATATTTAAATTCATCACTACTTGTCACGTTTAATAAACTGTTACCAGCCGGAAGTTGTCACAGATAAACATGGATTCTAACCAAGTCTGTTCTTCTTTGACATAGAATGCATAAACCGGTTCAGTGACTTTCTAACATTAGCGTGAAATAATTAACTACAGAGAAAGAATTAAGGACTCTAAACATCTATAATCTATAAAGCATTAATTATTCACCACCACTTTCCTCTGATAATGAACCGTTACCTTTACCATCTCCAACCACTAGTACTAGGCAATTGTGATATCACTCGGTGATAGTTAAGATCACAAATTCTGCACTCAGACAACGGGGCAGCTTAGATTCAGTTCTAAAATTATCTTAAAATCAATGGTAAATTAATGGTGCAACTTGTTGATCACCGTGTTACATGTACAGCGTTCACAACGCATGTATGGGGAATGCACCTCTAGTGTATTTTTTTGTAATTTCACCAAACATTGGTGTCTTTTTATGTAGTTTCACCTTAAAACAAAATATCCCCTATTTTTGGGCTTAGTATATATTCTCTTCAGATAAATAAATTTTAACAAATTGACTGGACAAATTGTATAGGTGCCTTATTTGCCTACATGTCAAGCTCAGTGGAGAATATTATACTGTTCATGATCAGTTTTTTAAATATATCCCAAATTCTTACACACCCGTGGGTGAGAAACCCATTTGAGATAACTGGTATCAAACATATGTGTGAGATCGAATTCCAGGCCCGTGATTGGCTACTCCATGGTGATGACCTGGGGTCAGATGATGACGGACTACTTTCCTGAGTGTAAGTCATTCATAAGTTGCTCGTGCTTCAGTCGAATGTTCACCTACGTCTGTATTGAACAACAGGACCGTGTAATTAATAATAAAAAATAAACAAACTCGTCCTCGTCTGCGAGTTTGTTTGTTATTATTATTATCAGTTACATTATATCTGTTGTTATGTCAACATTATCGTTTTTTCAGAGCGTAAACCCCCTGGCTGCCACAGCGACACATGTCCCTTCTCTTCAACCCTCACTTCGAAATCGAATAAAGTTCAAAATACATCACGCAGACACTTCACAGTTTTGAATTCCCCCTTCTGTTGATCATTTACTGTCATTTTAGGCAATTCAAAATTACTGAAAGGAATGAAAGTTAGGTACATTGTAAATCTCGCCAAATCACAATTCACGGCGTTATATAAATATTTACTGTGTGTTTAGAAATCTAAATATCGGATATTTACTCGAATAATTAAAGTAGAAAAATAGCATATTAGCGATCACGGGTATCAAATCACTAATGATAACTCTGAAACGTCGCTGATAAGTCTAGAATAGTTTAGAATGTTTTGGAAAATATGCACACACGAACGCCGAAGTGTACGTTCCGCCATATTGGATTGTGTTTACAAAATGTCGATTATGAGACGCCTATATTCGATCAGGTATATTTCAAACTCAGCTGCTATACATGCATCCCTGAATTCCTCATACATTTTCGAAACAATGGATAAATGGTCTTTGTCACCAATGCAAATTATCTAGATGAAATCATGCGAAATAAATTAGGTATGGACACGAAAACTGTGCTCGGAAAATTGTACTTGCTGAAATATAAACAAAGCAAAATTCAGATTTTACACTGTAGCATTAAAAGAGGTACTTTCGTCTAATTGTTGCATACATTGGCTCGATCACGCGTTTGAGAATATTCATGGGAAGAGTATCGTTGCACTAATTATGGAATTACACATATTTACATTACAATGATGTGGTAAATTCAACAGAAGCCGTAAAAGTTTCCGTCCTGTGTGACGCCATGACTGACGCTAAATCACGCACAACGATGACGGTAGGCCTAGTTATCTGCATTTCTGACTAATTCTCTGTTACATTGGAAAACATGGTAAACAAATAACAGTACGCAGATTGTCAGAATGTTTCTGAATACTTACGTGACACATTTATGTGTATACGATCTCTTAATCAACGAAAACCTCCTCTGGAAATCCCGCGTACTGTTGTCAGTGAACACGCCATTTTGTAAAAGTCGGTCACCGGTAGTGATGTCATACGGAAGTAAACATTGTTGTACATATTTGGTAATTTATTTGCGGTGTAAACTTTCAACTTGGCACCCAGCGTGTTCTTGGTTTTTGTCTAGTTTGCATTGTCATCATCGCCTTGATAATCCACAGATAGGACGGAAACCTTTTTGTGTAGGGTCACATTATTTATGAGTAGTAAGCAGCACATAGGATGACGTCACTTATGACAATGGTGTTACATGTATTAATGCGCTACTGCAATCATGAGAATAGACAAAATTCATCGGTTCGATGCTAAAAAGGTGCGATTTTAGGGTGTGTAAGAAACAGATTACTGCACTCGTGTCAGTCAGATACCATTGATCTTACAACTCGTTGTTACAAAGCGTATCTAACTCGCTTTCGCTCGTTAGATACGTTTTGAAACAACTCGTTGTAAGATCAATGGTATCTGACAGACACTCGTGTAGTAATCTCTATTTATCAAACGGCTCGATTTCACCATGAGACTGATCTATGTGGCATGTTTTATCAAGAAATAATCAATGGTTTTTACGAAAACAGACGGAAATTTGGAAAACAGTCGATTCTGATTGATCGGTCACTGGTTTCAAGTCACGAAAAACACAGTTGATTTGAAGGCCAATGTGTGTGTGTGTTAGTGTCTGGTTCGTGTGTGTTAGTGTGTTAGTGTGTGTGTGTTAGTGTCTGGTTCGTGTGTGTGTCAGTGTATGTGTGTGCGTGTTAGTGTGTGTGTGTGTGTGTTAGTTAGTGTGTTAGTGTCTGGTTCGTGTGTGTGTCAGTGTATGTGTGTGTGTGTGTTAGTGTGTGTGTGTGTGTGTGTTTGTGTGTCATCCTATCACATATCTGAGAGTAAATTACCACCTGACGAGGATGTGATCTGCTTGACCACATGGTTCTGCTTGTCTGCACTGTCAATAACAACAAAGTGTTCTCCTCTTGCCGTACAGTCAGCAAGACCAACGTCGTACAGTAACTTGTCAAGATGAAGCTGGTAGCAGAAGTTGAGGAGGCGGTTGTGGACGTAGCCAGAAGGACAAGCACCTGAGACAGACAAAAAAAGTTATGTTTTGAAGTTTGTTATTTTGTGTGTGGTGCTTTTCTATTTGTTACTTAAATGTTAACAGAAGTCTTGGCAACACCAAAAGATATATATTTTAAAGGTTCTAAACGGGAAATCTATGAGAATATTAAGGTTTTTTTACTAAACCAATGTTTGATAGAATGAACATCTGCCCGAACCGTCAGTGTGAAGTGACACATGAGCTAGGTTACACATTGTAATCACCTAGTCCACATTTAAGTCACCTCCTACGATTTGCTGAGGCTGATGACGACCGTTTCTGGTCCGGAATATTTTGGGGGTAGTCTTATTAATTTCTTTTCTTTAAGTTCTTAGTTTGTGTCTGATACATATCATGAATTTATAAGTTAGATTGGACACAGAATGTGATGCACTGGACTTTTTTGCAATTACAATTACCACAACAATACTCGTGTCAGACAAAGGATACCAACTCTATAACTGTTCAAGAGGAATTAGCACGTGACAATGCATGTGGTACTGTAAATATCATTACACTGTTCAATAGGATAATTGTAACAAGAAGGCATATTCTTTTGTCTCAAGTAACTATCTTAACGATAAAGCACTTGCTGTAAAAGAATACAACAAAAATACAACTTAATATAATTGTAAATGTCCCTAAAGTCCACGAACGTCTCTGGATAGAGAGGTTTTCACGCGACTGTGTTTTGTGTCGCAAAGGCTCGCTAAATACATTGTTTTGCTCCTAAGACAGCATAACTATCGCAAAACACACTTGTATGACAACCTCTTTATCATAAAAGAATAATTTTGATGCGATGCATCAACACGGCGGTAAACTCTTTGTTCGCCAAATTATATTTACAATAAAATAATTTTCCCGAAATAGTCACTCAACACTTGCATGTTTAAAACAATATGAACCATACGGGTTTCATTTCATTTCCTATTTTACAGGTTATCTTAACAGGTGAGGTGAGGTGAAATGGGGTTTAACGTCGCGTCCAAGACGCACTTATATAGCGACGTGCATGCACGTGTGTGTGCGTGGCTGCTTGTTCAAGTCCGGACTGATGCCGATTTATAATGCCAGCTCGCTGAGATACCATGCCGCAGTTTAACATGAATACCCCATTCAGACACAGTTAACTGACTACGAGCCGACCAGTCCTTGTTTTAGCCCCTTAATGTCGAGCGCCATCTACATCTTAAACAATGTTAGTGACTATAATGTGTAGGAATAACATCGGGAACACAGGATGAAACAATCTGTACATTTATTCGACGTATATAAGTCTGACAACTGACCATAGCACACACAGGGGGACACAATCGGTTCAGCCATCCGTGACATACCATACGTCCCCCCACCGTATCCAAAACTAACTACGCCCTTATGTCACACAATTACATCAAAATCTCATAGAATGTATATACATACACAACATAGAATGTAACGAATGCAGGGATACAAACACACTTCGGGCGTCAAACGAAACCGGAAGTGATATTGTGTGGAATACGAAGGACACTAGGAAATATGGTCAGATATTTACACATGCGATTACCTCCTATACATACTGGATTTAATAAACAACGTCTTTACACAGCAAATGAGTGCAGTGGCAGTGCAGGTTAGCACCGTCTCCCTCTCGCTATTGAGGTAAACTTTATGAACATATGTAATGCATTTCAGGTTTAAATAAAACTAATACTGTTCAACTAACAAAGTATCGAGCATTTTACAAAGCCAAATGTGACATGTCCTTAACAATTGTCTAAGAAATAGAAAATGCTAGTACTTTCTATTCCCATAATTATCCATGAGGCCATACTTATCGATTTGACTCATTACCAATAAGTCCCATGGACTTCGCAGAAATCTACCACGAAGAGAAGGTATTAAAAATGTTACATCTATACATACACAATCAGAAGAAAAAAACAACTCAATAGTTAATAGGCCTCATATGCGGTTACATCCCGTACTTAATGAAACAAAGGCGGTAGATTATTTAGATCACGGGTCTCCCTATCATTATTGTGACAAAATGTAACACATTTTATGAATTTAAGAGTGTCAATAAAAATACAACTGAAGAACTAACAACATAACGCGAATGTGTGAAATACATATACTGTTGAATTTACTATCCCGATTGACTGATTTCATTAGTCACCATGCTCTAGAATTTTATTATTGTAGGATAACCTTGATGCTAGTAGCATTTAGAAATAATTATTTCTCCCTATTTTTAGAGTTTTTACAATTCTACTTCCGTTTAGAGAATTCTCCCTGGACATGAGCAGATGAGGACAAAGTGAAAAAATCAAGTTAAACATCTGTGTTTTACAGTTTGGAGAACTCCGCTCTTCAGAACTTTGTGAAAACACATGTTAAAGGGAAGGAAATCTCACCAGACGTGTTGCTTCTTTGTTCAATCTGTACCATATACCAAACATGGACAGGCAATTGTAGACAAAATAAGAAAAGCATGAATTTCCTATACAGTAACCCATTCAAGCTAGATGTCCTCACTGACTTTAACAAACTATTACAAGTAGAACGAGAAAAAATGTCATTCTTAAATTCCATCGTCGAAAAAACAGACCGTACCTGCATAACGCAGTTTCTGGAAAGTTCGCATTAAAATATTACGCCACATGGCCAGTGATTAATTAAGCGAACACTGACAGCAGGCAACATAATACCAACTGAAACTTGTTATATAGACACCGAGAATTACTTCTTAATTGAAGTGTGATCCATTAAGCAAGTAACCTGTCCAGATTCCCAGTTATCAGTTCTGACTCGATCGCCAATAGACAAGGGCGACCTACTCGTACCTGACCGTTTTTATTTGCATAAATTATCCCTTCGGATACCACCTACTTTCGTCAGTTGGTTTTGTCCTGCCCAGAAAAAACCCCACCCATTATATGAAAAAAATTATCCTAAAACACAACCGAAAGTCTATACAACGAATGTGCCTAAAATACACGAAATTGATTTATTACTCGCCTGACCGCCTCCGTGGTCTAGCGGTAGAGCGTCCGCCCGGAGAGCGGAAGGTCCTGTGTTCGATACCTGGCCGCGTCACACCAAAAGACGCGGGTACCAAAAGATGGTACTTGTGTTACCCTGCCTGACGCTGAACATTAAGGGGCTAAAACATGGACTAGTCGGCTCGGAGTCAGTATATATACTGTGTCTATGTGGGGTATTCATGTTAAACTGCGGCATGGTATCTCAGTTGGCTAGCGCTATAAAACGGCATCCGCCCGGACTAGTACAAGCAGCCACACACACACACGTGCATGCACGTCGCTATATAAGTGCAATAATCTTGGACATGACATTAAACCCCATTTCTCACACCTATTACCTCACCTCACGCCCGTTGAAGATACCACTGTTTAATGACAATGAGCTGGTATTAAACAGTGTTTAATACCAAGCTCGTGCTTATACACTGCGGGAACATGTTTCACGAACAAATATCGAAAACTCTCAACATCAATGGTATAGTTCAATGAGGAGCTTATGCACTTTCGATTGCCCCAGCACCCCTGTGGCTAGACTGACGTCATATGGCATTGTTTCGCCGGGGTTTCTTGCAACAAAATTTCACAAATTACGCCATAAGACATTGTGATGGCGCTACGTTAGCTTTATGGAACAGACCCTGAATTCTGAAGGTAGGTCGTTTTTGTATGATATTTAATTAAAATGCGTCAATATTTACTGTATTTGAAGTATTATTCTGTCAAACTTTGTGCTGTGGATACACGCGCAGATACACACGACAGTGCAAGTTTAAAAAAGTTATAAAGGGCAGTAATAAAAAAGATACGAAACTCGCTCCCGAGTAATACCAATTTTATGAAACTCGACAATAGTTCTGGTATCTGGCTCGCTTTCGCTCGTCAGATACCAGAACTATTTACTCGTTTCATAAAAATGGTATCACACTTGAGCGAGTTTAGTATTATCTATATATTTGATATGCAAATTGCAATTCGAGTTGGTGAAGAATGTAAATATAAATTACCTGCAGTAAGGCTGTAGTACACGGTGCCTGTTTCCTGTTGTCCGTCCTGGGGCGACAGAAATACCACGTCATGGAGCTGACACCGCCGGTGTTGCTGTCTGTAGAACACAGACACACACGCCTCGTCCTTGAGGCACAGAGACACGCACGTAACTCTGCTTAAAATGTCGGAAACTTCAGAGAGGATGTCAGTTGGTATTATAATATTTGTGAAACTTTCCCACTTGTTTCCAAAGCCGCTCTTGACTGAAGGAGAAGCACCGGTTACAAAATAAGTCAGTACGAGTATGATAAAACCAGCCTCCATAGCGCAAAGCATGTAGTCTTTCTTCAGTCACCAACGTCGAGAAAATAAACGGTTTGCCGATATGTTCGCGTATCATATCGATCCCACAGGCTGAAATAATTACCGACAATGCCGCGTGTTAATACATAATGGATTGCGTCCCATGTAAGTAGTAAACGCATATCAGGATCAGAATTGTCGCTAGATTGCAATCTTCTGCATTTTATTAATCATAATGTTTTAAGCACCTGTTCGTGTAGAGGTGAACTGGCACCTGGTGGGATCTTTTTATTTTGCCAGAAACCTATGATCCTGGTATCGAATCCATTTGGCCCTGATTATGTTTCCAGGTTTGTCAGGATCGTCCCGTGCTGATGGGTTTCACCAACGTTGTCAAAGCCTGAGATCCAGAACAAACCGACAGGCCGTGATATAACTGAACTATTGATCTGAGAGGCGTTATATTCACTCTGTTATTATTCAAACATATTCAAACTGTTGTAACGTCATAACTTTCTGTGGATTCGGTATTTTAACCATTGATATCTCATGAAACTGACACCATACTGCTTCTGATGTCGTGGACAAACACTTGCTTCAAGAGTAAGCGTTATTTTTTCATCAACTTTAAAAAAAAAATCATCCCATATGCAATAAAACGTCAACACCTGAGAATAACCAGTCTCGATTTTCCACAAAAAAGATTCCATTGGGCGTAAAAAGGCAAAGTAGCGGGTGAAAATGATGTAAGGGGATCGCTGAAAATGAGTTATGACACCAGGTGTTCGCGAAAAGGGCAAGCATGAGCTGCCGGACGGGTAGCACTTGTATCAGGTTGCTATGACCTTGTCTATGTTTTTTTGTAATATTGTTTTGTAACTGGGGTTGTGTACGCGAGTGGTATAAGGTTAAAAATGCATCTCAGAAACTAATGATAATAAATAGAACCATTATAGCTGCAATGAGGAGTTGCATTAGATATAGTTTGTGACAGAACTTGTAATTGGAAAGGAATCAATAGAGAAAAGACATTTCACATTTATCACAAGTGTATTCTGGACATTTCACATTTATCATTGGATTGGTCTCTGGCTATCATCCATGAGATAATGAAACAAATGGGGAATTACAAGGCATAATTCATTTGGAGCTTCGGAGCGAGTCACAAAATCAATAGAGAGATGAGCAATCTGGCACGTTGGCTTTTGGTATTTTTCCGATGGCGACACACATGAGTTCATGGTCAGATCTAAACTTGTAACGAATCAAATGGAGGTATTGAGACATGTGACAAGGACAGGCCAGGCTCGAACACTATAAAATGATACCCTCAACATTAGGAGAGATGAGCGCGGTTTGCAGTCGATCGAGTCGAATCCCGATCGTTCTAAATTACCACCAGCTAGTGACGAGCCTGGCCAGTCTGATCCTGTCCTGTATTGATAGATGGGCGCAGAGTAAGTAAAACTATGTGAGTATAAACTGGTGTTGCGTTTCTTTATTATGCGGGTGTGAATGCTGATAGAGACGACATGGAGTAAGGGTCGTTAGACCAATCACTCCTTGACGGAGCCGAGCCGCGGCGGACAAGGCGAGGGCAATGGCCTCGCTTAATTGACCACAAGGACCAGGAACGGCAATACATTTAGTAACTGTATTAGGGTCGCACTGGACGCCCGAAAGCAGTTACGACACGAGCAACTATTTATATCCCCAACAACGTCATGAAATATAGATTTGACTAATGTAAATGCACTGTATGTCAATTGATTACCAATAACCCCAGACAAACATGGAATAGTGATGAGTTGACTTTACCGATTCTGCATCAGGGGACGGGGGGATCGCAATTTGATTGGTTAAGGAGCGTGACGTCACAGTAAAACAACTGTCTGAGATTGCAAAGCGTGGTGCAATACAAGGGAATCCTCGCGCTAAAACTAGGTCATTAAGCTGACAGTGCGTGAGCTACCTCTAACCAATATTGTAGATACTCTCTACATTATCAGTAATATACATATTAGTGAGTGTTAACATTCAAGGGAAAATCAAATTATTAATAATACACCGCATATGTACATGTACGAAGGTCGCCAAACACCCTGTCTGTGGAAAGTACAACTCTACTGAGGTCAGCTAGCGAGACGGGGAGCAGACGTAGACTTGTAGGACGGGTTCATTGTTGAGGGGAGTTTCATCCCCAGCGGACATGTCTAACCAGATCTCTCAACAATAACCATTCGTATCACTCATAAAGGGGAACACATGCAGTGTGAGCGTGTCATTCTGTCACAGAGAGAGGACGTGTTTAAAAATCGTCTGTCAATACACAAGCACAGATTTTCTCTCGACCTGAGGTAATAGTTGAATATCAATATAAAAGAAAAGAAATAAAATGTTCCATTCCTTAACTGATTGTATTATTGTATAAATATATTATCTAATAACTTGACACATCAAGAAAATAATATCAAGAGATAGTAAGCTATTTCAATTCATTACTTGTAGGATGGAAGATAAACAGAAATTTCTTGAGGAAGTGAAATCCCTCTCGGACGTGGAGACATGGGCTCTGAGTCACAACAGCACGAGTGATCCAGATGTAAATCTAAAAAGATTTGAGTTACCAGCTAACCACGTCGGTATCAACAAAAAGTCTTATGCTTGCCATCTGTGTAACAAAGTGTTTACACCGAACCAACATCTTCTCCGACATATACGAACAGTACATGACAAACAGAGGTATGAGTGTAATCAATGTGGAAAGTCTTATTTACGTCTGGATAAATACAAGAACCACAGTTGTCAACCGAGCCTGAAGAGACCGAACCAGTCTGCGAGTTCTGAAACTACAAGTAAACGGCCTTGTTTACAGACACTCTCAACAAATGCCAATTATCATTCAGCCCGTTATGATACCTGTAACTTTTGCGGTCACGTGCGAGGTTTGCTACCTGGTAAATTGTTTTGTCAACAATACAGTGAGAAGGGCCGCGTGTGTGTATGCTGTCTTTAGAAGGGAGGTTCTACTCCCTGAGCGTAGGGAAGTGCGACTCATGTGTTCGCAGGCGAGAGAGATATGAAGCAAGACGCAGCCAAATAGGGGAAGGTCAGGTCAGCCCTCAAAGGATCGCTTAGGACAGCAACACTGACTCCGAGCGAGGCAGGTAGTGTCGATATTCTGCAACATAGTCACTATTTTGCATGACTTTCTGTCGGAAGTAAAATATATCAAATATAATGAAAATAATGAAAGCAATTTATCGGACCCCATTCTTAGAGCAACCAATTTATGGACCCAGAATGGCTTTTAGGTGAAGCTTTTCAAATTTTTTATAAAGACTCCCAAGAGTTTCAGGCTGAAGGGAGTGGGTGGATCTTAGATCGCATTGTTCTTATAGAGGTAAACACAGCTGAATATGTCCCCTTGTCAGGGATCAGCTACTTCCCCCTCCCTAAAAATCTCAAAGATAAAAAAGCTATTTTGAATATCCAAAACCGGGATAAGAAATGCTTTATGTGGTCCATTCTTGCTGCTCTACATCCCGTTGATAGAATGGACAATGCCAACAGAGTGGGCCATTATTACCGTATTTGGTTATGAAAAAAAGAGGGTGTGTTCCCATTGCATATCAGTGCATTCCATTTCCAGTCAGAGGTAGATTTATTATTGCTTAGTGAGGGAGACAAAAGGCATTTCAGTTTGATAAGGAATTTAGGTCGTCTCATGGGGGATAGGAAAAAATACGGCCATTCAACATTTTACTGCAGACGTTGTCTTCATGGATTTTCTCGAAAAGTCCTGCTAGAAAATCACAAACCCTATTGTTTTCATCATAGCATTCAAAAAGTAAAAATGCCAGAAAGTGATTATGACATTTGGGTCAAATTCAAGCATATCGCTAGACAACTGCAAGTCCCATTCGTTATCTATGCTGATTTTGAATCGATTACGAGGAAGGTCATGGGTTGTGAGGGAAATCCAAGTCAATCCCATACTTCGATATATCAGAGCTCGCTTTCTTAGAGGTTCTCCTCTATTCTCTGGGGACCAGGTTCTCACATGACGTTGAAGGTCATGATTGTTTTCAAACATGATACCACACTCATCACAGGAATGCATGGTCTCGTCTTCTGACTCCACAGTGTTCTCAGCTGGTTCGCAGTTGTTCTCCCTTTGAGTGTCTGGTGTGAAATGATGCGTTTGTTCAGGCTGCTTCCCTTTTATAGCTGTGCTATGAGGTGCTCTCTGACCTAAAGGTTCAGTGAGTGAGTGAGTGAGTTGGGTTGAACGCCGCTTTTAACAGTATTCCAGTTATATCACGGCGTGTCAGCTTAATGTGGGAGGAATGCCCGAAGTGATGCAGGTCTCAGACGTTTACCACTTCGTTGAAACCTACGAGCACGGGTATGGTGCTGACAAACCTAGAAACATAATCGGGGCGAACCGGGATTCGAACCCACAATCATAGGTTTCTGGCGTGCCCAAGGGACGCAACTGTGCTCAGCGAATCGCGGCGCCTTAGACGACTGGGCCACCCGTGCCCCCCCTATAGGTTCAGTCTCTGGAATGAACCGCTGGCTTGTGTCAGACGACCTCTCGACTACAGACTTGTTCTCATTCGAACTCAATGTTTTGGTAGGTATCTCTTGGTCTGACCTGGCTAATATGTTAGACTGTAACCTGTTTGCTTCCAGCGTGATAGGACGTAAGTCAATTGTTAGATTTCCATTCAGAATTATTAGGATAGATGCGTCTGGCAAACAAGTGAACTTGATATCTATCCACAGGAGAGTTAAATAAAGTCACGTAAAGAGCATTTAGAGTCCTTCCCTCGTGGGAACAAGTTTTTTACAATAACAAGAAGATAATGACATTCTTGTGATGGGAGGTTCGCGTGACCAACTGTGAGATGCGTTTGTCATTCTTTGCCTCAGTCATCAGGTCATCATATTGTTGTTTCTAGCATCCATGAAGTCATCGTCGGTAATATTATATGGTATTCCCCTTACAAATTTCACATGAGGTAACTGTTCACCAGGTGTCAGCTAAGGTTGGCGTATCCTGTCTCAGCGTCACAAATCCATGCATGCTAGTGTCCTTGAAAGAAATTGAAAAAAACCCCGTGAACATATGGTACAAGTCAAAATAGGGAGTTGAAAACTTAGGAGTTAAACCTACTGTGTTTTGATATTTGATGCAGTCCTACTGTTTGTTTGTTTGTTGTTTAACGCCGCACTCAGCAATATTCTAGCTATATGACGGCGGTCTGTACATAATCGAGTGTGGACCAGACAATCCAGTGATTGACAT